CAAATTAGCAATATGTAACAGCCTAATATGCTTAAAACAGTATGTCATGGGCTTCTGATACTTAATTAAGTAACAATGCGCTAAAGAACTAGGGAACTCTCTATTGTTCTGCGGCATAGCAAGTTCCCCATGTACGAATGTCTTGGTTTTCACACTGATTATGTATCCATCTGTGGGTAACACATTTTTGAAATAAAATGTGGATAAACTCTATTTTGAAACAAAGTTTCTTTTGTATTAAAAGCTCTTATCCAATCATAAGCACTCAAAACAATAGCCAAAAGATGCTTCTAATTTGCAATGTTCCCCACATAGAATTGCCTTAATATTGAAGCTAAAGAAAGCTTTCATGAAAGCGAAAACAGACATTAAATAAAATATTAGAAAATTCGCTAACTTGTGAAATTATAGCAGATTTTCATGTTTTAACCAATGGGATGAATGGATTATACAATGCACAATTAGCACCTTCTTGCATTCCTATGCCGTTTGCTTCCCTAGTTCTTACTCGGTGCATTACTTAAACTAATTTATTTTAGATATACATGTATAGCGAAGGCACGTAGCAAAATCCTGTTGATAAATCCTAAATCTTGAAAACTCATAAAAAACAATAAAATTACATATAAAAATTAATAAAAGGATATTGCTGATTTGTCTTCCCTCAGAATAAAAATTATTATTCATGAAAGAAACATATGTAAATGTCCTTTATCTATGTAGCTGTCTTTAAAATAATTAAATACCTTTAAAAATCTAATAATAATTTGATGTATGCTARGTAATTTCTTTGGTAAAGTTAGCTGGAAATACTCCTTTGAATCCTGTTGTACCAAGAACTCCCATTAGCCAGCCATCATCCTGAAAACATAAAACAAAAACTTACTAAAAGCGCACAAAAATTGTAGAGAAATTTCATAAACTRCATGTAATTGTAAATGATTTTCTCTAGAGTAATTCATAGTTGCTGAGCTAATCTTGTTGGACCTATTCTACTGGATAAAATAACGCAATACTTTCTATCATAAGCTTTTCATCTATTGAAAATGAATCGTCCTCGATCGATAACAATGTCCAATCTCTAGTCAATCTTCTTTTTCATAAGTACCTGTACATGAACTATATAACTTACTTGCTCTTCTGCATCTTCAAAAGGAATAACAAATATGACATCGTTTTTCTCAAATGATAATTCATCGTCATCTTCTGCTTCATATTTGTGGGTTGCTTGAACCTGAAGATACAAGTTTTTCAAAATACATTTTACAGTTTAATATATTTTCTCCTTTTCTCCAAGATTGCTTCAGAAATATGAGACACATTTTACTCCAAAAATATACTTTACTGTCAAACAACAACAACAACAAAAAAAGCAAAAGCTTTACTAACCCTATACAATGAGCCAGGTACCTCTGTCAGAGCAGTTGACTCTTTGTCTGGTTCCTAAATCAAAATAATTATATGTTTTATAAAACAAAAAAAGATACCTTGCATAATATTTCAATYGTACTGCTTTGGCAATACTTTGGTTGTGTAATTCAACTATCAAGAATGTAAGAATTTACTGGTTTTTGTTGAGGAGGTGGAGGCCTTGGAGCAGGAGTTGGTCGTACTACAGGTGGTATAGGTGCTCCATCTTGTTCATCTTGTTCATCTTGATATGGTGGAGGTACTTGTGGCTTTGTTTYTGGTTCAGTTGCCGGTTGGTCATCCTCAGTGTGGTTATCATTTGTATTAAAAGGATTGGTTGCTATGGTAACAACATGCAAAATTAGTTGAACAGACACTTTAAGTTTCATAGTTTCTACTTTGATTAGATGTAATTTGTCATAATTATCAGACTAAATTTTTTGTTCARGTGAGTAAAATTGTGGTTTGTTGTGGTTCAAATCCCATTTTGACCAATTGATTTATGCTGTTTTGACCATCGAATGATGCAAGTATCATTGATATGACAACAACATTGTAAAAAAACAACGTCTAACAATAATCTCCATGTCACCACAAGGCTTATTGTAAACAAACCAAGAAAGTCTCCAATAGATTTCATGTCAAGACAACACTTTACATACAATTTGTATTACAAACTAAGAACATATTTCAAAAACAATTATATTTATCATTTTTACCTTCGTCATCAACCTCATTGATGGCTTTGTCAGCTGTTCGTATAAAAGCAAATAAAATGTCATTTATAATACTGCGAGATGTATATGTATATCATGTATAGCTAGAAGAAAGTTTCTTTGTCATAGAAATGTTATTGATGATATGATATGTTTAATTACATTCCTATCTCAGTGCAATACTAGAGAAAAACACTGAATTACAGGATGTGCGCAACACTGATATAACAACATTTAACAACTAACATTTAACAACTTTTAACTTTTTTTTATTGATAATTGAGAATGCCTGAAAACTAGAGTATATTCAAAGAGCTGCCTGGGAAATAAGAAAATACTGCTCATAGTTAGTGAAACTGCCTGAAGCACAACTATATGATTTCAATTCAAAGGCACTTGTACTTTCTTCATTCCCATAATGCAACTCGCAGAACATTCGCAGAACATTATGCAACACAGATTGGGAAAAGGAACATTTCTCATAATGTTGTTTGTTTGTTTGTTTAAATGATATTATTTACTTTCAGAATCATCAGCTTTCACTTCTTTATCAGTAGAGAGAGCAATACTTCCTTGCTGAGAATCAGTCTGGCCTGAGTTTGAGGCCTGCTCTTCACCATCGCTGTCTGATGCTATTGGATTGACACTGTACAAATACACACAAAAAAATGATAAAAAAGTATGTTTTTACAACACAAGCATAATGCAAGCATACGAAACCATCTTTTCATCACAAATATGAATCATTACCTTGATAGTTGAAAAGGTCTCCTAGTTGTATGCGTTCCTGATGACGCTTCAACAACCAGACCATCAAGAAGGTCATTCATTTGAGTTTTAATCTACAATAAAAAACATTGTTTCTAAGTAGAAATCATGTCATTCATTTAAATCCATGTATTGTATCAATCACACCTTTGCACCCAATGTATCGCATCATACCTTAGCAGCTTCTCTATGAAAGACTGCCTCTGCATTAAATATACTTTGAAATGATGAAACATAAAATGCAATTCGGCTGAAATGAAAATGACGGTATTAAGAATAGCTATTCCATCTTTAGTGAAACGATCATTGTTGATCAGATACCTATCATASAGTGCTGGAAGTTCTTCATAAAGCTCAGCATGCAGCTTTGTGTAGACAGACTTTGCTTCACTGAATTCTTCCTGCGACTAGAAGAACAAAATGACAAAATTAACATTTTTATTCATTCATTCAGAATTGCAATGTTTATGCATTCAGTTTTATTCAATCTAATCATTCTCAATGAATTCAATGCCCAGAAAGAAGACATCTCTCATCTACAAAGCAAAGTGCAACAAGCATCCATAACATTTTAACTTTTTTTTCCAAATGTTATTTTAAAGATAGTAGTCAAGCTTTGAGGTTATGATGAGCAAACCTGAGTCAATTTCTTTTGATCAGCATTTTTTCCTTTAGCATTAAGGGCCTAAATTTAAGAAAAGATAAGGAAATTCATTGTGAGATAAAAATCTTGAAACGTTTTCATCAAATAACAACAATGTTGATTTTGGAATACTTATTCCAATGAAGTCAAATACCTCAAAGTTGTGTCTTAATCTGTCATAATCAACTAATTTTCTTCCATGTTTATTAATCCTAGCCTGAAAAAGATTTAAACATTACATATGAAAATAAAGAAATAACATCATCCCTTGTTTTATTGATATAATACTATTGATGACACACACATGTGAAAATGCACTTGTAGAATGGAAACATTAGTAATCTGATTCAACAGTATTGTGGCAGTGATTTATGATACATTTGTATTGATAACAATCAATAGAAAGCATTCTCAAGCAAGGAAGTCACGTAACAACCTAATAGTGTATGATATAATGCACAACATCCAGTCAACACCATTCCTGGTAAAGACCACTGTTTAAATATGGAATATTATTACTCTTAACTCCAAGAAAAATATTACAAGACAGTCTGCTTTTTGATTTCACAATAAATAATCCATTCCATTACCTTAATATCAGGAAATTGACTTTGGTAAGCTGTGAGTGGTCCTAATACCTCATCTTGTAGTTTTTCTTGTAAATCTGTCCAATACATATGGAGTTTCTGAATGAAAAAATCAGTTATTGACATGTTACATCAATGCTCAATGCTTTAAAATATTATAATATTTGTAAAATAATAGTTACATCAAGTAACTGGAAGGTAACATCTCGACCAGCCCAATCTGGCTCATATACTTCTTTAATGGCCTCTCCAAACTCTAAACTTGCAGCAACCATGGCTGAAAAAAAGTCGAAAARAGAGAATGAAAATGAGCTTGCAGTAACATGTGAAATGCTAGTCGGTTTAGATGACCCTCAATGGAGTCCTGGAGAGAGAAAGAAGAGGAACACTATGGATAGATTAATATTATAACATCAACGCTATGCACAAACTCAACATCTTCAGAAAAGATTGGTAAAAATGTGTTTTTGTCACTAATAAATAAAGGTAACTGTCCAATAATGAAAGATATGATAATACCTTTGATACAAGCATTGTAGTTTTTGAAATCTTTCTGTAATCTCTGTGCTGCAGCCTGTAAAAAAACATTTAAAAGATTGAAACAGACTTTTTATGAAATTGCACTTTAGATTTTAGACGAAATTGAAATGAAATCGCCAAAGAGCCAGCTGGGATCACTGTCATGTGTGTAGTGCTTTTGTAAACAAAGTCAGAGTCAGAAATCATAATAAAATATTTCAGGTCTTTGTTGTAACCTAAATGTACACTACCCTAATCTTTGTTAGCTAAATTAATTTAAAATAAGATGTTGAGTGAACCACAACTGAGAGTTAGGATAAAAATGACATTTTGATAATTGATGTTTGCTTTTGAATACATTAAGGAAAGTACCAAMTGATATAGGCATTGTTTTTCACTTTTTTTGTTGCCAAACTATTTTACCAAAAGGGGAACTTCCTTCATGCTCTAAGGTAGTTATGAGTGTCACTCAACAACATTTCAATTAAGAGTTTGTTGCCATTTTGGGGGTAGTCAATATTTTCACAACAGTTGGCATTTCCTACTTTATATTAATGGTTAAAAGAGAGACATCAATTATTCATTCAATTTTATATAATGGCAAAAGCACAATGATAGCAAATAGTCACAACAAACAATATTTATATGTATGGATATTACTTGACAAAACATTTCATATTGTCACTAAAGATCGTATTTTGAACAAATATGTGATAATAGAATTTATTCATCGAGATAAAATGTGGGTAAAGCGAATTAAAACAAATAACAAAACATTTTATCAAAATCAGACTATCAGAGGCGGTCTTCATGAGGAGAAACATGACCCGCAGCCATAAGTGTATAACGGGAAAACTGTCTCTTTGCAGTGAAAATCTCAGTTTGCTCTGAAAGTGAGTTTAATTATAATACTAGGTAAGCTTAAATGCTGAGAGATAAAGATCAAACGGGACCTGCTGTTTGTTGAAATTGGCGACGAATTCATCAAATGTGACATCTTTAGTCTCGTTGGCTTTCCCCAGTTTCTGCTTCACCTACAAAACAAACCAAACATAATAGAGCTCTGGACGATCACTGTACATCATGATAAAATGCCGCTTAAATATATGGCAAGCGATTCACAAATAGTTGAAGCGCACAGACTTTCAAGGCACAGTTTTAGCTTAGTTGTAGATCTAGAAGTTGTAAAAGTTGCTGTTTGTCAACATTTTTCATGCAGAAAATCTTTGAGAGGTAACGTACCTTTTCACCAGCTCTTTTGGCCCTTTTTGAAGTAATGCTAGCTGTTCTAGCTAAAAATCCCTTCTCCGTCGTCTTCTCCCTGTCAGCCATGTTATCAAAATTTGTTCTATGTCCAATATGATTTAGAACCGCTGGAGGACAGCCGAACAGTATCAACTAGGGGAGGGGTAAGTGATAAGCTTTGATATCAACGCTAATTAGGTCATTTTAACCTCAAATATTAAAAGAAAGAATGCTAAAATAGTTTTAATGATATAAAATTTATTATTTGTTAAGTTAATTTTGATTAAATATTACAAAATACAATGAATGTAGGTGTTTATTTATCGTTTCAGCAGCCATCCCTCCAAAGTTTTAGTGACCGGAAGTGCACATGCGCATCACCTATGTCCAAGATGGCGGACGGTGGTATAACAGAAGGTGGGGATGATGTGCGCTATTTTCCGGAAGGCAGCTTGTTGAACACAATGATCATCTCCATTACTGACTCCGAGAAACGAACCAGCGACTATATCAAAGATCCCTACACTGTTTATTTGATTGAAACAAAGTAAGACTCTGTTTGTTTTGCATTGTTAATAGTTGTCAAGTTCTTAGTCGTAACTTAACGATTCCAGTCCGGATTTATTGATGTTGCTAATTCACGCATTTGAAAATGAAGTTGCAGAACATGATTGAATGCACTTTTTGTGTGTGGTAATTTCTAATCTTTCTGACGCCGTGTTATTGACGAAAGTCGTCTCAAAACTAGAGAAATTTGAACCTCTTTGATGACTAATATGACCTTGTGAACGTCTCGTGCGTAGCACATAAACTTAAGCTAGTAGCAATAACATAGGAACTCATCTATTTAACTAAGCTTTWTGTTTAAGTTATTACATTTACGATATACTTGCTATTAAAACCACAGCTTTACTAAATTTCTCGTGGCATTGTCCACTACTAAAGGCAATGTATATGTTTATRCGAAAAACATTTTCATCATAGAATTCGCACGTATTAAGGATAGAATGTTTTAAAGTGACATTTTCCTCAAAGTAACCAAAATTTTGATTGATTGCAAAATCAAATGTTTGTAATCAGGCTAATTGTAGCTAGACCACTAGCTGCTTGAATCCAAGAAAATGCATAAACTTTTTTTTTCCCTAAAAAAACAATAGTGTTCTCATTATTCTAAAAAACGTTTGTTGTTCGTTGTTGTAAGATGATTGTGACAGATTGGTAATGAACTACTTTGTTGAAGTTTGCCTCCCATAATGGTATTAGTGAATCTGATAATGATGAATAGATATCAGCAATTTTACATGACTGATGATTGCTTTTGATGATAAAAGAGTGTCAGTAAGAGGACAATCTGTTCTGACATCATCATGTATCTCATGCAAGCTTAATGGAAAGAATTTTAAACAAAAAATGTGGTACAAAACTAATTTGCACACAATATAATTGTGCATCCTTTTATTGACATACTCTTGACTTCAAAACGTGCACCCTGTATTTCAATGTTATGATTTTTCATGAGCCAAGGAAATTTGACAAATAAAGAAAATCTCCCAATGCTAATGGTGATTCTAAAATAATATAGGTATATAGATGGAGGACCCCCAGCTGGTGAGCCTGATATGTCTAGTAACTTATGGAGACGATATAGTGAATTTGATCTTCTAAGAAACTACCTTGTGGCAATCTACCCTGCAGTAAGTCCAAATCAATATTTGCATTATAATTAGATGATATCAATGTCTTATGTAATATTTCATTAATTTTGATAGATTATTGTTCCTCCATTGCCTGAGAAAAGGGTAGGTACTATATGCAATTTTATTCATAAATCAATAGTTAATGGTTAATTATGAATAATTATCAAAAAATATGATTGATGACTAAACTAATAATAACACTCCTTAGAGATACGTAGTTGCAAAATGTACTCCTAGAAAAAAACTTTCAGCACTCTAAAAAGCAATTAAAAGAGGAAGAAATATGTTCAGCTTGCCTGCAGGCATTTCTTTATATATATTCCTATGTTCCTAAACCACTAAATCTCAGGACTGTTTTTGCAATTAGGTGTATTGTGTTAAAATAGGTGATTGATAAAAAATATTTGAAATGAATTACGATTGAATGTTTTAAAACAGACAAATGCATTTAAGGTGGCTGGTGATAGATTTGATCCCGATTTCATTGAAAAAAGAAGAATTGGATTAGAGGTTGGTCCTTTGATTCACCTTAGTACTTACTAGTACATGTAGTAATACATGAAATCATATCTCCAACTTGATGTTGTAAATTGTTGTGGATTGATACTGCAATATTATTATTGTCTGTTTTTTCTCTTTTCAAAGAATTTTTTATTAAGATGTGCAGCTCATTATAAACTGGCTAAAGATGTCATATTTTTAGGATTTTTACATCAGGTATGTTTAAAATACAATGACTTTAAATATTATTGCATGTTTAGCCATTTGTGTGTCAACCATTATTTCAACATATTATCTTTGTTGTGTTGAATAGGAGGAGGGCTGGAAGGAAAGTCTGCAAGCAACACAGTATACTACTAAGGTATATAAACACACTGTCTAATAACTGCATTCTAATATATTATTGTTATTATTGCATAAAATTGATATTACCTGACTTTTATCACAGGTTGATTCTCGCTTGAGAAGTTTCAGTGCTTCAATGAATCTCAAAAAGCCTGACAGGTATTATAATGTTTATAATGAAACCTATCAAACATAAATAAAGGAAAAGCAAACTTTGTTTCATAATCTTCTGAGTTTTATCACATTGGGTACAKATACACTATATCATCGCATTATCAACATGATGTAATGTCTTTGGTAATTTTACAAAGTGTTKTATACTTTCACTTTTAGACAGTTTGAAGACATGAAACATTATGCAGAAAACCTTGGAACTAATATAAGTGCCATGTTAAAAGTGCGACAGGTGGGTAAAGAAATACAACATTTGTGTTTYATGTTAACCTACACTTTATTAATATATACTTTTTAGCATTTAGCTGAGAAAACATTTTCAATTCACAAGCATCATGCCGGATATGGGAAAACATTTAGGTTAGTGCAATTCATGTTTGAAGGTTGAACTGTGTTAACAAGATAAATAGACTCCAGAGCATTTTTGTCTAATGTTTGATTGCAAATCCAGGTTGTTCAAAGCTCAATTAGCCCTAATCACAGGTTAACAATTACAAAACCTATGGACATTTGCTATGGAGCATTAAACCTGGATCAAGGGGTCAATGGTAATGAGGCTTTGAACAACCCAGCCTAGATCAATACATAGTTTGCTTGGATGTTGCTCCTTCTATTATAGTTGTTAAGCTAGACCTGAAGTCTGTGAATAATTATACCTAATTAAATGATTTTATCTGGCTTGACATTTATGCTAACATGAATCTATTTTAGTGAATGGAGCACAATGGAGGATGACATGGGTGATGGACTACAGAAGGCTGGACATTACATGGATAGGTAAGTCAAATTTCAATGATGTTTAAAGCTTTCTTTAGGTAGGTACTTAGGAAGGCCTATTAGGTAGGTACTTAGGAAGGCTTAAAACTTCATTGAAATTTGACTTGGTGCTGCATGTATGTGTAGTCTTGAAAAAGACTGTTACTAGTATTATATGATGTATTTTTGACATTTCACTGCCATATTTTGGGCATTCAAAATTTGAGCCTATTCAGATAAATGATTACAGAGTGAAAAGCTTTGAAAACGTAAAAAAAAAACAATGAAAGAATGTATGGAGCTTTATGGAAACACTCCCAGACACCATATATTCTCTCCAGTTTTGCAATCAAATCTCCTATCATATATCTTAAATTGTTCATATGCTTTCTCTAGACTTTCATCAATGGTAGATACTGTTTTAGAAGATGATGAAACAGCATTTGCTGATCCTTTGAAGGAATATCTTTACTTTGCTGATGTTTTAAGGTAATGCATGAAATAATTGGTTTAAGTAACTTGAGCTCAGCTGGTGTTACGTGTCCAGAAAAAAATGATAATTTATGTGATTTCATGTTCCCTAGGAATGTTGCAAAAAAACAATGGCTACGTCAGTATGATCTTGAGAAAGCTGAAGACCTGTTGTCAGCTAAGAACAGTCAGAGAGAATCGCTTGAAGCTCAGAAGGTATTGAATTCCCATGAATTACATCATAATAGAAAATAGTTCATCATGTTTTAATCCAACATTTTTAAATATCCAATGTGTATTTRTCCTTTTGGTATTTGTTTTCTTGTTAGAAAGCTGCCGAAGGCAACGCTCCACCACCTAAGACAAATATGTCCTTCAAAGGCCTGTCATCAATGATATTTGGTGCAGAAACACCAGAGACATTAGATTCTAAAATAGCCACTCTGGATGAACAGATTAGAGAAGCCGATACAGGCGTTCAATCTCGGAAAGAAGATCTGGAGTGAGTTTATCAGTAATACATGGTCAATAGTGTGTAACATGTGTATTGTATCTGTGCTTTGTTTTAGTTTTAGTTATAGTTTGTTATCTTTAATTCTAGTGGCTTTGTGGAAGAAGCAAGTCAAGATTTTGAAAGATTTAAAAAGCAGCAGGTCAAGGATCTAAAAGCAATATTAGCAGCTCACGTAAAAACGCAGATTAAACTTTGTAAAATGGTAAGTGATTYTGCACATTGATACTGTATTCCATGATTGATGGGCCGAGTGAGTGAAACATTGAGGAACTGTTAAAGGTTATTAACCATTTAACATTTAAAAGTTGGTACCATTTAACGTTTTAATCCTTATATCAAATTTTTATATGCTAAAATTGTAACTATTTTTTATTTCAGGGAAAATTGACATGGGAAAACATGAGAGACGCCGCACAGAAATTGTAATATATTTTAATTAGCATAAAAAATACAAATAATGGTAAAATAATAATTGGAAACAAAGTCACCATAAAAAGTWGACTTCATTTATATTTCTTAATCCACAATCTCGTTTTATAAGTTCACCTATACGTGATTGATTTACCCTGAACAATAACTTGTGAATACATGCGTTTTCCATTGGGATATCAATGTAAAATGCATGTATAAATAGCCTAAACAGAACAATATCATGAACAATATTGTACTTTTTTAAACAAAGACAAACAAACACATTTATCAGATTCATTAGTTTGTAATGATACCTCTATTCAGCGGGCGTCTTGGTGTTGACTGCAGAATGGAAGTTTGCAAAAAGAAAAGTGGACTTTTCTATTGTGGTAGCCTAACCAAGTGCTGAAACTCCAATTATAGAACTCATTTCTCCATACAAAATCGTAAAATTCTAAGAACTTGTATTGTAATTATTAAACTTACTCGGAMGAAAAGCAAATGAACTTATATATAGTTTGTCAAAATAGAAATTCTAATAAACTGTACGCTCWTTGAGCGCTTACACGGACTTTTGCGTTATTTTTTACGCTATATATATTCTTTTTATATATTACCTTACCAATAAAGAACTTTCCTCTATTCACAAATCCTTCCCTGCTTCTTATTTCCTTTTCTTCTGTTACCAATTTTAACCTCGAGGAGGGATATTTTTGATTATTTTAGGAATGAAATACAAACGGCAAAGAACCAGCTAAGTATTTTGATACTAACGTAAGTTAATATCGGTCTCATTTCAAGTCGGCCTATATTCCTACTGTTTCAGATGAATGAAAAGTGCGACTTTTTGCACGTTTTATAATAAGTGTTCTTAGCGGCGTTATCAAACGCCTTCTGTAGATTGCCGAAGGGAGTAAAGCAAAAAGGAAACTAAGATTCTTGCTACGGAAATTAGCGTGGATGTTGAATGGCTTTCGTCCTTGGTCGTCTTCGTGGGCTTTCGATCCAGTCGAGCTTGGTTCTTATGTTAGCTGTGCTGCAGGGCTATAAAACAGATAACACACGGTTTTCTAGATATGATTTCCTTAACCACGATGGAAATGATCAGACAAGCAAATAAACCAATGAGCGCACCTCAATACACTATCACTAAGTACTGCAGTTTACTTTATTCGTAATTTCATAATTTGTTGCTTTTCTAAATTTCATGTTCAAGTATTTCATTCCTTCAATCCATGCTATAGTTATTTTCTTTAACGGCTACAATTAACAGTTCACAAGAAAAAACAAAAAAGAAAAGAAAAATAAAACAAGAAAAAAAAGAACATGACCGTCTTAGGACTCGAACCCATGACCAAAAATCGAAAAAGTTTGGGACGATTCCCCCGAGACATTCTGTGAAGCTGAGGCGTCGAATCGATTTACATTCCGGTTAGAGATTTCGGCTCTTCCATGCTATCCCGATAATTGGTCCTAACTTCGCGCTAACTAAAAAGCCAGTGAGGGAGAAGCTATCCGGCCCCTAGACACTGATGGATAACCCCTTGCACTAACTAGGCAACTATCGAAAGTAGAATGTCAAATTGGGATAGTCTATTCGGTGAAAGTGTCAAGTGGTCTATTATTATGTAAATGAACCTGGTCCAGTGGCGCACCTCGTTAAGGCGCCGTGCTTCAATCCTGGGGTGCGGGATCGAATCCAATTTCAAGAATCCAATTTGTGTTTCTTTATTYTAAACAAGCATTCTTATATTTTTTGCTCTGTTCTTTTTATCACATTTATTTACCGCTGTTTTTTAAATGAATTTATTTTATCTTATTTATTAAGTTTTATTATTATTATTTATTTTTATTTTTGAGYTACTGGCTAAACTATATGGGTTTCCTGTGTCTTCTCGACACAGAAGTGGAACAACCTCGTACTCGTTTACACAAGATTGGGTTCGTCAAGGACCCTAGTTTGACAATCTAACGAGTTTTTCTTCTGGARCGTCAGAGAATGATCCGTATAAAGAGCCTAAGCAAAAKTAAATGATTAAGAAAACTGAACTGCGACTGGAGAAAGGAGCCGACAAAGGTAGCTTCCTTTATTTGGACAACTGTTATTGATAATGACAWTTTAGCCATCRACGGAAGTGGTGCTGAGTYGASTTARAAGTGYCGGTGAAAGAAAGAAAAGAACTAAATCATGTAGYACATAAATAACGGTGTCATTATCGCCCAACATCGATAACCAAGCCCACGTTTCCTGACCGCACCCTACTGAGTAATAGTTGACATAACAACTACGTCATGGTTGATTTCTCAATCCCCGTCCCAGGTACGCGCGGCTCCCGTTACATGCCTCAACATTTCAAAACATGCTGAAAGAGAACAACTTTCGAATGAACAGTTAAACTTCTTTTGAAAATCCCCAGAGTTTTGTGGATCTATAATATCATTTGTACATAGAATAAGGTAAGTTGATATGYTAAGATGACTTAGGACTCGAAAGAACTTCGAATCACGCCGTCAGGGTCACATTTTCTTCCGTTCAAGGGAAATCCAAACTTGGGAGGAGTTTGCTAGATATTCGAGGTCAAACTGATTTGTTCCAGAATGAATGAATTAAGACCTGAAACGTCATTCTTTAATCATTTTTATGTAACGTACACAGCAGATCTCTAAACAAGAGACAATAATTTTAGGCTCATGGCTCCTCAACCAATTCAAATTATGTAAGTGTTTGTTATCATTGCTCATTTGCTGGRATATTTGATTTATTGACACTGTGCCTGTAATCCATGCCTTAAACACGCTTCTTTCGGCATTATCCGTTTGTTTTATATCGCTGTCACCCAGCATGTCGACTATTGGTCCGGTCTAAAAGCTTTGAAAGTCCAAACCATAATTCCTTAGTATCACTGATGGCATCAATTGATTATAACCCACCATACATACGATCAAAAAGAATCTCTCCAACCGCGACGACATTTACGTTGCCTCGAGGAAAAAATATAATCAAAATCTGTATGAAATGCTTCGCAGTTTTAAGTCAAAATGGAAAGGACAGCGAAGGTTGGTGTTCATTTTTTATTAAGAACTCAGTGTGATGATTGATGCAGTTTGTAAGCTACTCAATCGAAAAATCACACGTTCGTGTGAAAACCTCACGCTAATTCAGATTGAGCTTCTGATATTGTTTRTTCTCCTTCTATCGTATGATATTTCTTGTTACTTATCATAACATTCATTATATAGCATTTCACTTTAGAAAATGAAACTCTGTATTCATTAGACTTTAGCTCAGCTGTTTCGTGTTTACCGTGCCATTTATAAACCCATTGTATTCTAGKGGACATTCACCAATGTGTATTCTAGTAGACGTCTGTTTGACACATTCTGGAACATTACATTTGAATATATAACTTTATTCTTTGCCTCAATAACAAATACCCGCTAGGAAATGCGCCTCAATCGCACATTAGATAATGTTGTGGTTCGTATTCTGTGGTTTTCATCGATCAAACTGATCGATAATATGATTCACTTTTACTACAGGGCATTAAAAACATACAAATAATGTTTACTTAGAAATCGAAAACGTAACATCAGTTGCTGCTAATTAAAATATTTGATGTTTTAGTCTAATTTTTGTTTTAATTCCTTTTTGTGATGAAGACAGCTGAGTCATTCTGCAAAGATGGATGGTTTATCAGGGGAAAATCAAGAAGAAAATCAGGYCAAAGAAATACCACCATTTCAACTTGACACAAAAGAAAACAATGGTAGTACAATGACGGATAGCACAGATGAGATAGATGTAGCCCCRTCAGATGATGATGAAAATGATGATGACATTGACAAGATGTTGAACGAATTACAAGGCTTTCAAGAGGTTAGACCTTCTTGTTTACAAACCTAATYCTAGTCACTTGTCATAGGGAACAGTTAATTAAGGGGATTATTGATTTTTGAATGGTGCATTAGGCTATAATGAAGTAATTTACCAGTACTTTTCTATTAAATTAAAAAATGGACTTTTCAACTTTTTGACCTGCAGAGAAAGCAACAGCTCACTGTGAATAGTAATTAAGTTTTCTACATTAGTGCTTCTGCAGGTGTTTTGATAGTAAATATTATTGTTTTGAATTATATAACTGCTAAAATATTCACCAAATATAAATAATTGATATCTTAGCAGTCACATTCAAAATATAGATCATAGATTATTAAAGACCAAATGAATTAAGACCACAGCAGGGCACAGGGCACTTGAAAATAAAAAAAGGTTCAAAATATAGATCGTAGATTATTAAAGACCAAATGAATTAAGACCAAAGCAGGGCACAGGGCACTTGAAAATAACAAAAAGGTTCTAATGAAACCAACTTCTTTTTATAGTTCCCATGACATTTTTGTATTTGTATCTCTACAAATCAGGAAGAGAGACAACAGTTGAGCTTGTAGTGATTGATAAAAAGACAGTGTAGCTATAAATGCAAGCTCAACTATTACCATATTTTTGTGCAAAAGCACATTTAATTTCATGGTGATGCTAGGAACAATGAACAGAAATTAATGTATTTTACTTGGTGTAGTGAATCGTTACAATGAATGACTTCTGGTTATATCAAAAAAGTTAGTTTCTAATTTGACTTTTTTGTTTTCGTTTTTTTAAGGAACTTGAACAAGAATCACAAAATGTAGCAGATGAATTAGATGCACCGTCACCTTTTATAAGAGCCCCATCTTTACCATCAAAACCTTTAGTAAGTGGACTGGTTTATTCTTGAATGTGAAGCTGACTGAATTACTCTAGCATATAGGAATCCCTCCTTGACTTGCATGGTGATTCTGTACCTTCCAGCCTAAGATTGAGCGTAAAATAACATTTTTTGGTAGCATGTCTTGACAACGCTGTGAATGTAACACTACTTTTCTTTAGTTGTTTGCCACGTTTATTCCATCAAGTTACGTAAAAACTATATCACATGTGTTGCTCGAGTGATTACTCTAAGAAGTGTAACACGATACGACTAAAAGGATACTATACTGTATGTCAATAGTCTGTTAATTATCTACTTAACATTAACACTGGCATGCCATTCAGGTGCAGAAGCAGGGTAGTCATGCTAGGCACTAGGGCACTGAGTGTATCCATAGTCCCTTTGCTATCCGTGCTTTTTGTTACTTTTTAGAACTTTAAGGGGTTTGGGAGTTATCCTCAGCCCTGTTTATCCTCTGTGTAAGGTACARCTTGCTATGATGCTTATCTTTGTTTTTTCCATTCAGGATGAATTCAGGTTTTCCATGACTGCTATGGAAGGTGAGTTGAGAGGCTCAGTTGTAAAACAGTGATTTTGTGCTTGTTGTATTATGGGTAGGTATTCCTGTCAATCAACATATTCTTACCTGAGCTTGTGGTTGGAATCCAGGAGGTGCTTCCTTACTGATTGTTAATCAGGGAAGGTTTCTCTGTAAGGGGTACTTRATTATTTGAGGGGAATTATTTTCACAAGTGTATGTTTTGAGTGGTGCTTATGTACACATCTTGATGAGGGGTTAGAATGGTCCTTTTGAGAAMGTGAGAATCTAAAACTGGCAATTTGAATCATAGAGCATTTTTGTGCTAGGAAAGCATCACTCAAATTTTGCTTGTGCTTAATTAACAAAACAAAACAGATTTCTAACAGCTCAATTTTCTATTCAATCATATTCTAAAACAATTGGGTGTGGAGACTCAGTGTTGACTCTGTGAAGCGCAAATTCATTCCATGCTTATTATTGGTACTTGTTTCAAGAGGTTTGCATTGGCTCAACAAGAAATATGTTTTAATGCTAATAATTAGTTATTCACCCTCGTGGTTATCCAAGGAGGGTCCTTGCAATATATATCAAAAGGTACTTATTTTCAGGGGGATAATTTGTAAGGGGGTTATTTCAAGAAGCACTCAATTTGAGGAGTACTTCTTAACTTGACTTTCATATT